AAAAAACCCAGCACAGGGGGGTCGCGGCACAGTGGTGACGTGGCATAGTTGGATCAAGTATAATGATATCTGACAGTGATTAAAATCACTATCGAAAAAAAACGCTTCGATGCAAATCTTTAGATAGTGTTTAATTTTAAAAAATTGGTGGATTATTCCAAAAGCTTCATAAACTGCTAGTTCCTTATTAATATCCTGATTAAGATAAAGTATGTCGAATGAAAAAGGATTATTAAAAATATTATTTCTCATAAAAAAATTGTGTTGATCAATAAACTTTTCAATAAGTTATAGCATTATAAAGACAAAAATGTAAAAAATAAAATTGAGAATTTTCACACAATAATAGCATTTGGTCGCCATTTTCACCGTGAAGATAAAATAAAGTCCGAAATTTTTTTTTACCATTATAAAGTATATTACATTAGCTTTAATTTAAGATATATATAAAAGTGTCAGACCTTCCGGAACACTTTCAAAAGTTACGTTGAAAAAATTAATTTTTTGTAAAAAAGTTGTCATTTTAAATCTCCCCCTGTGGGCAGGTAAAAAGTCAAATTTATAAAAAAAATATACCAAATGATAGGTAATGACATCATGCATCTATGAAAAAAATAATTATATTGATATGTTTATTTCTAAAAAAGTTACGGCAGTTTTTAGTAAAAAAAATTGAAAAAATTTCGAAAATTAGCGATTTTTAAATTTGTAATTTTTTCGGAGGTTTCCCCCATTTACAGGGAACGAGGGAAATTTTTTCAATTTTGAAGGGTAATGTCTTCGACTAGATACAATTTGTGATCTTTTGACGTATCGTTGAAAGAAATCCGTTCGGTGAGAGCTGAGAAAAAGTGGTAACAGACACAAAAAAAAAAAAACAAAAAAAAAAAAAAAAAAAACACATCTTAGTAAAACCAATACCTTCTCAGCTTCGCATCGAAGCTAAAAGTATAGAGTATAAATTTGAGAGTACTTTATATTTTAGATTAATAGAAAAATCAATTTTAAAAATAAAATTTTATTATTATGCAATCAAACTTTTTTTCAATTTATATATATTTTAATTTTATTTCAGATATTTTACGGTACCAATTGTAATATCCAGTTTAGGGAAACAACATTTGCAAAAAAAATTAAATCACATTAATTATTTTATAAAAACAAGTTAATATAATTTGTCTTTGTGAAATATTGAAGTAGAATATATTGTAGAAAACTTAATGTACTCTTTATCAAATAAATTTATCATACAGATCGACACGAATTACTTTTGACGATTAAAAGTATGCTTTATGAAAGTATTTTTATTCAATATTTTTATAGTTACTACTAAAAATTGAATCACAGTTAAAGTGACCTTGGGTATAAAGACGTATATATTTACATTAAAAACATATTTTAGAATCCCATAAAGTAAAACTTTTAAACATTTCGTAGACATATTTATTGGTATTATTATATATATATATAAATAAATAATATTCAATGTACTTACTAAAATCGTGAAGCAAAAATATAACAGTGCTATTGACATTCTGAATCTCAATTAATTGTTATTCTTGTAATATATTATTCTGCACTTCTTATGGTAATCTTTAAAAAATTAAACGAACCTGCGTAGTTTATTTTTCAAATATATTTAAAACATCCGCAAGTTACTTCCTGCGTACTACTACTAAATAATACTACAACTAATGATATTGATCTAAAATTTGCATCCGTTCTTTTTTTATGACAACTGTGTTAGATATAATAATCTATCCATTGTAAATAAATGTTAGCAAATAAAAATTGTAAACCTCTATGAAGTTATGTTGAAAAATAGATTATAAAATTTAAATTTGTATGGCCTTATAGTAAAATAGTAATCCAAGGTTTTGACCTTATCTATTATAAAGGTAAATTATAGTGAAAATTTTATTAAAATTTTAACTAATATATACATTTACTGATATTTTAAAAATAACGACTTTTGACACAATTTTAACTTTTGAGTAAAATATTCGAGAAAAATTAAAAATTAGTAATCTAGAAACATACTTGATCTTTTTGTTATCAAAAAGTAAAAAAGCAACCCAATAAAAAATGTATGTCATCATAATCAGTTCTTTGGAAAATTTTTTATAATTTCTCACTTTTGTTGTATATTTCTATACTAACAACTGCCAAAGAGTTGTTTTTTTTTTAACAAACAGAATGATTGTCAACTTAAACTATAATAACTATAAAACCTAACTCAACCTGAATTTTTTTGTTTTCATTGTGTTTTATACAATAAAAAAATATAAAAATCACATTTTTTTCTTAAGACGTCTTTGTGTGTAAAAAGAATGTTAGTATATTAATATTTTATAACTGTATAACATCAATATTTGTAAACAGTACTATTAATTATTCAAATATGTTTAAAAATATTCAAATTGTAGGGTATAACATTTGTTTCTAAAAAAAAAAAAATTAAAATACTTACAATATATGTAATTTTTAATTACATTTTTATTGAAATATGATTAGCCCCAATTACAAAATTTATCTTCTTTTAATTTTTAATTTATCGTTTATGCTTAGTGTCAGCACGTCTAAATAGTAAATCCTTCGGTGAAAAATAATCAAAAAGTTATATACATTATAGCACAAATAAAGAGTAATATAATATAAAGAGTATATTGCATTAATTTAGTCTACCTCCAAAAATTATATTCTAGTCGTGCCTATCTATAAAAAAATAGAAATTTCATAATAGATAACATCAATCTAAAACATTTTAATTTTTCTTTTCAATGAAATAAGAGAGAGTAAAAAAATGATATAAACTCTCTGGTTTTTAATATAGAATTACTTTCGTGGTAAAATGAATAAAACCTTAAATATTTAAAATATAAGAACTAGAATGTCATAAGTTTAATAGAATATCACACTTTAAATAGTTAAGAAACATAATAATGAAAAATAAGGACCTTAATATGTAAGTGGACAATAAAAAAAAAACCCAGCACAGTGGGGACGTGGTATAGTTGGGTCTAGTATAGATGATATCTGACAGTGATTAAAATCACTATCATAAAAAACGCATCGATGCAAATTTGTAGATAGTCTTTAATTTTAAGAAATTGATTGATTATTCTAAAAGCAATATTAACTCCTATTTCTATCATTATTCCTAATCAGTAGTTGATTTATAGATATAATTTATGAATAAGTATCTATTAAAGCAATTCAACGTAGTATGAAATTGATATTTAATAATTTAATATTTATAAAATAAGAATTTATAAAAAATTATAGAGTAGTTATTACTTTTAACGTATATAAAAATTGAAGGGCTTGACACTGAACTATTTAAATAATAATTTGTTATTAATTATGAATAAATTGTCTGCAAAAAATTCATCAGAGAAAAAAGATACTTTTATTATTCAATTTTTCATTCTAATTAATAACGGAAATTATATATTGTCCATCACCAATAATTTTTGATATTGGTACTAATTAGTTAAAAACTATAGGATATAACTATAAGGAAAATAGTTCTGAATATTTCAATTGTATCATCTATTTAAACACCAAGAATTACATAGAAATTATTAGTATTTCTTTTAAAATAATTTATTACGATAAAAATGAATTAAAAACACAATAAATTGTTTTTAAACTATTACAGATTTTGATTTTTAATATTTTATAAATAATCATTGCAAAATATATTTTTTAACCTATTTTTTGGTTTTTTAAAGTTGATTTTTTGAAGTTTATAATAAAAAAAAATTGAATTTGTTACCATAACTTTAAGCTCAACTCAATAACTTTAAAATAAAATACAAAATCGAAAATGTTAACACAAAAATAGCATATGGTAGACATTTCACCATAAAATTCGAAATTTTTTTTTCCCATATTAAAGTATATTACATAAGCTTTAATTTAAGATATATATATATATATATATAAGTGTCAGTATTTCCGGAACACTTTCAAAAGTTAATAAAAGAAGTAAGTCTAAGTTTATCTATTCACCAAATACACAAAGATAGTGTAACTGTTCTACAATTATTAATTAACATAAACTAATTTTCGGTTGAGTAATATGGCAAGATTGTTGAACAACAGTAATAAATTAAATTATAACAATATAAACTAAAAATGAAATTTACAAATACATCTAATTTGTAATGATCTCTTTAAGCCCTTGTTCATTCATAATAGTGGTTTACTTTAAATTCATTCCACAAAAACCGGAAATGATGTTTCGTCATTTGAACTCTCAGAATCATTTAAAAAAGTTATACTGACTAAAGAAAACCATTTTTATTTAATTTCATTTTTTATCAAATGAATAATAAAATAATAATATTCTTGAGTTAAATAATGTTTTCAAGTAAATTTTTGTACTTAGTAGTTATTCTATGCTTTTATTTTAGTATAGTCATAAGATGAGAAATGTTAAAAAAAAACATTAGTACTAAATAATATTTACAGTAATTATTGAACCCAACTGTTTTTATCTTACATGTTTCTAAATATATTCCAATTGATTTAAAATGACTCTATTTGTAATAACATTTCTGCATCAATTGATTTACATTAGCTAGTAGGATCAAGGTCTAATGTACTGCAATTTACATACACTATTGTTTATATTCTAGTAAACATTTAATTTACCATTGTTACATCTAAAATCTATTGTAGTTATCTCTAGAAGTGTTAATTAATTATAAATAGTAGTTGAATGNCTATTGTAGTTATCTCTAGAAGTGTTAATTAATTATAAATAGTAGTTGAATGACTTCAATAAAAAACTAGAATTAGACTTATTAAACAATATCAGAATGATTACATCTTCAAAAAAATGTTAATATTCAAAAACGGTATAGAAAAAATTATACTCTTAATAGGATTGTTAAATAAAAATTACAATTTTATCATATGTTCATTTGTTTTAACCAACAGCTTTTCATGAAACTTATACAAATCCATAATCACTTGCTCTGAAAATTTTTTTATTGTATAATTTATAATTTATATGCAAACATTAAGGTGCAAATTAATTATAACATTGAATATACGTTCTTCTGACTAATCTTTGATTTCAAATATGAATATTACATGAATTCCAACACATTTGTAAAATTATATTTTAAATAAAAACAAAATTATTATTATAAAAGATGTTTTAATTTAAAACAAACTGTAGTATAAATAATTAAATTAAAATATTGAAACTAAATCAATTTATTTAATAGGAATAAATCTCAAAATCATTTTATATCAAATACCTACGTAGATGACGTGATGTTTTTTTAGACGCCTATTATAATTCCAACTGGATCGAATACATTATGTCATGACTCTTTTCAAAATTCAGTTGACTCCGTGTATTTTTCTTTTCACATAAATATATATAAAATATTGCTCAATATATATGTATGCACGTGGAAATAAACAATGTACCGTGGGAATTCGTTCGGTTTTCAACAACAAACTTCTGAAACGTGTCAAATAAAAAAAAACGAACAGCGAAAACTGCTTTCATTTTATAACAGAAACGAGCTTTTGAAACAATCAAAAACCATTCAAAAAGTTACTTTCTGGAAGTTTTTTTTGTAGTCCCTTAAGCTTACATATCAATCATAGCTAGACACCTTACAATAAAATTAAGTAAAACTCACATATCTAATTGATGTTTAAAAAAGTAACATTTTTAAATTAAGGTAATTTGAAATTATTGTGTTTTTTAAATTAAATTTTACTTAAAATCAGCGTATTTAGTGTCAATAATAATATTAGTCATGAAATATTTATTATCTACACATTTTCTGTTAAGTAAAAATGTTTCGATGGATTATAATTATAACTTTTCACCTCAAAGTCAAAATTTATACTATTAAATTATTTTCCAAAATCGAATGTTGTACTAACCTAAATTTAAATTAAAACGAAAATAGTTTGAAGTCAAATACACCAATTTGATTATTTGCATGTATTTAATTACTTCAACAATTTTATACATAATAAAAATTCCCTGTGGGCTGGCAATTTCGTATAACATATTTATTTTCCTTTTTAAAACGTTGTTAGCTGTAAACTCTATATCTTTATGTAAACAAGAATTATAGTATAAAACTATACACAAGGTAATCATAAAATTATGATGCTATCTCGATGTAAAAAATTAGTTAAAAATTAACGAGTAGGAACAATATGAATTTCAAAGAAACAATAAACAATTAATTGTTTTTAACACGGACATATCCTAAATGTTATTTGAAGTATTTAGTATATTATAGCCATTAATATATATTACCATCCTAAAAAATTAGATAACCATTATGAAAATGTTTGGTAGTAAAATATTCTATAATTTTAAATATAAATACGGACTAACAGAATTGATCTACTTTTCGACTCCCCCCTACATTTGATAAAGTGGTGGTTACAATTATAACTACAACTGTGGAAATTTCAATTAGTAAATACATAAAACAGAATATTACAAGCACTTATATTTTGAATTTAATAAAATTTGGGTTTTTAATTTAATAGTAAATGGCATTTGAATTTTTAATATAACTTTTATTCGATTATTAGATATAAAATTTTTGATTTTCAAATTTTTGAGTTATTATACATGTATATTATACAAGAGCTTTCAAATACAGGTCCCTTATTAGGTTTTTATGGCGTTGATATTCGCAGATATGCAGCATTTATTATTAATGGTAGTAAGGCACATTGTTGTGA